TTTAACTAAAGTTTATCCACTTTTAATTGATAGCATGAAAAGCCTAACATAACTTGCCTATTGCCTTCTTCTCGACTCCTCGAATCCACACATTCTCTACACATGTTCCCTTTTCGGGGTTTTCCTCTTTTTATCAAAAGGTAATTTAATGCCCAGAAAGAAAGTGTGTTGCAAGAACAAAGAAGTGAAATTGATAAATAAATAAATAAATATATATATATATATATATATATGAAACCCTCAATCTAAATGAGCTTCACAGTGCAATTACACTGGTTTAAGGTAATTGCAATTTTTTTTTGGGTTAAATATTCTTGTGAAAGCTTCACCTTCATTATTCTACCAGCTTATATATGGATGCGAGCTTGATGAGGGGATTGGTTATCCTCTAGTTTTCCTTTTCTCTGGGTGCTTTTGTTTCAAAATGTTTGCTTAACCTATATGCTTATGCTTTACAGATAGTACTAACAAGTAACAAAATGAAAACTTTGTTTAATCTCTAATGTTGTTATAAGTAGCTGAATTTTGTTCAACCTATATTTGTACAGAAATATTTTTATGATATTGTTATTATGCACACTATTTAATCTCTAATGTTGCCATAAGTGGATGATTTTTATTTTTATTTTTCCATTTAGATGAAATCCCAAATGTGTTTATACTATGGATATAGAAGTCACTTGCTTTACTTTGCAAACTAGGAGCCTATATAATTCCTATTGGATGTATTGTTACAGAATGTCAGTCACAATTGGATATTTTTTAGTCCAGCAAGAAAGTAAGTCTTTATGACAATAGTATTAGTTTTTAGTATAGAATTCTTAGTGAAAATAGATATGGGTGTACGAGTGTGAAAGGGTGTTAGTTTCAGATTCGGTTTCCTTTATTTACGAAATTATGTTCGTTTATGGTATTTGAATTCTTGAAAGTTGATAATATTTAATAAGCAGTTGAATGGAAGGAGAGGTATCTCCGGCATTTTCTATTTCCAATTGAATTTATCGAAGAGACCAACTGGTGTCTCGGTTTATTGGTAACACTTTTCCCCAACTCTCCATCTTAATTCCTCTGTTTTTATCATCATAGGTAAGGGAAATAAGCCCAACTTTTCAGGGTATATACCATGTACATATTGCGTTATGGTGTTTTTGTTGATATTAGGAAAAGATCCAAGCAGTTTGAAAAATGATAAATGACGGAATGTTTCTCATAATAAATGGTTCCCTTCCATGTAATAGAAGAGACTTCTCTCCAATCTGAGGTGGAGGAGATAGTAGTGAGAAACACCTACTTGACATTAACATCCGCAAAGGTCTAGTTATCTAGATGATGCCCATTGAAATTAACATCTCTTATTTAATATTTGGCAAGAGAAGATGACTTGTTTAGCAGCATAAACTGAGCCTATTAATGCACACGGAAAAGAAGATGAATCATCTTTTTAATGCTTGTTTAAATGTCAGTGTTTTACTTTTCCAGTGAATAATCTCATTTCTGTCTTTGGTGCTGATTTTGTGTCCCACCTGCATTATGCTTCTCATGACAGATTCATATTCTTTGGAAGCCTTGTAGAACAATGGCACATATGAATTCTTTTTCTGTTTATATTTTGTTCAGATTCTTTTTGTTTGTGCATTGGATTAATACATTGCAATTGCAGGAAGCTATAGTTCTACCCTCATTTGTCGCAATAGCAATTCACCCAAGACCTGGTGTTTGGGACTTGTTCGTGTCAATGTGTATGAACTGACTGTGGAATAATTAATTGTTCAAGAATATCTTTGCTTCAAAGAACTTGTGGATGGGGAGTGAGGAACCTCTCTTGAAATTGTTTAATGATTATGAATTTGTTGATTTCCTTGTTTGATCTGACATACTTGATAAATGACAAGATTCTCTTAGATAATTGCTGCCTTTTTTACATATTTAATTTCTCACAAGTTTAATTAAAATTTGGAATTTGGAACCTGGTCTAGGTACAATGGAAATTATGTGCTTGAACTTGATTTTGAGCTGTTCAATACAATAGTTCCTAGACTAACTCAGTCATCTTCCATTGGGAATGTGGTTCAATTTCTCTATCGTCACCTATCTTCAATCATCTTCCGTAATAAAGAAAGTTTGGAGCCTTTGCTTCATTTTCTTCGCACATAATGGGCATGTGAGTCTTCTTAACTTTTGGCATTGACATTACGATCTTTGCTCCCCATTCAGAAAATGAATAATAATAATAATAATAACAATCATAACAACAACAAAGGAGGTTTGTAATTTGCATGAGGAGACTTAAGATAATTTTTATTTTACCAATGTGTTTTGCAGGTGATGATGCTGACTAATGGGATACATACAATATTTGGACTCCAGTTTGCTTTGGCAAGGGCAGAGGAATATCTTTCCCACCAGATGAAACATACTCACAGTTTGAATATGTATGAGTGACAATCTCTCAAGACAACTCTTCTTGCTTAAATAGAAATAAGCCTCAAAATATAGAGCTTCCTCCTTTTCAAGAGAGGCAAAGTCGCTAGATAAACTTGGGGAGAGGAGGGTGTTGGATTTTGACAGTGAGATCAATTGAGTAAGTTTTTTTACATACGAGTTATAACATTTGCAGGCCTATTCTCTTTCTTTTCTATCTTTCTTTCATTTTTTTATGTTTTTAATTTTTTTTTCAGTTCATTATTTCAATTTTTTTTTCCTCTCTAGGCCACTTCTTCTTAAGTATGGCCTTGATAAATAGGTTAGATTAGATCAACTATTTAACACTTAAGTACTGGCTTTATTGCAATGGAAGGACTAGGTTTATTTCAGTCATGGAAATGACACAGTTTCTTAAATCATATTTGTAGATAGCAGAATTTTGATTGCTCTCTTTAATTTGTCATATTTGGATGGAAAGTCCTGTTATATGTATGCAGAAGTTGTTGGACCAACGAAGGTTGGCCTGAGTTGAAGGAGCTCTGGTCGCTTAAGCAAGTGGTCTCGGGTTCGAGTCCTTGTCGATGAAGCAAACCTTCTTGGGAGAGGTCCCTGCCTTGGCGCCCGACCGTACCTCAGAGGATTAGTCCTGGTGAAGCCTGGGGATTCCTTGGGAAACCAAAAACAAAAGAAGTTGTTGGAATCCTCATTGTCAATTGTGGTCTATTTTTGTTCTGCTTTGTATATTTATATGTATTTGTTTGTATGGACTTTTCTATGCTTGATAGTTTGTTATTCAATCATATAGCCTGATTACCTTGTCTGGAGCCAAAACAACAGAAGCATCCAATATCATGAGCTGAGATTTTATCCTGAATGAACCTTCTTTGTTTTCATACATTCTGCAATTTTTAGATTTTCATTTGTAACTTATTTTCATTTTTGGTCTAATTTTTTCCCCTATTAGTTCTAACAAAGACCGAGCAAAGGAATGAATTAAGGAGCTACGAAGCTAATTACTATGGTTGCCTAAATCCTTGATTTCTATTTTCAAGTATGCCCTTCAATCTAACAGTTACATATTTATTCCCAAATTTTCTTTCTTCATTCACCAAAATTTGCATTCTAGGGCCTCATGTCATTTCCTTCTCTATTCCTTATATATCTCGTCGCATCTGTTCATATATATATGGATTATTCATGGTTATTTCCAAGTGTATGGATTTTGTTCATTTTTGTTTTTCAATCATTCTATTGGGTATATTTTTTTGGAAGTTAAAATAAATTATAGGCAAACTATTTGGCATTGAAAAAATTTGACTCCTAAAAAAGTTGTTCTAATTTAATCGTAGTGACATGATAGATTATCTCACAATGTTTCGATTTGTTACAATTCAACCATCTCCACCTTCGTGGTTGATCCTCTCCTTTTTGATAGTATCATTGAGATATTTTTTTTGTGCTATTTCCCAATTTATAGAATGTATAAAATGAACACTAGAAGGTGGTAAATATTGGCCTTGGGGTGGGAAAGTAAATGCAAATGGCATGGGGAGGATTATGGTTAAAAAATTCATATCTAATTCATGAAGGACTATATCTTCCCGTTTTCTTCTCTTATTTTTTAATGTCATTTTTGATATGTCAACAGAAGGAATAATATGATTTTGTCCAAAATTTTGTTGTTGTAATGAATTTTTTTTTATATTTTGTTGTTGTAAAAAATAAAAATCAATCTATATTGTAATTATTCTATAATTATGCCACTGAATTATAATTTTTACAATTATTAATTGCTCTAATTTTAAATTCCCACGTAATGGAAAGCCCAAACCACAGTCAAAGGCCCCTTAAAAAATAATTCAACTAGTTACCAAGCAATAGAAAAAAGAGATTGATGTTTAATTATTAATTGGACAAATCTATATTGTAGTTAACTAAATTATTCATTGAAAATAATATGATAGATAAATTTGATTAAATAAGCTTAGTTAGTAATTTTGTTGTTAAAAATGTAAGAAAAGTAATATTTAAGTGATATTTTGTTGTATTTAGATTAATTTGGATGGATCAATGGCTTTATTTTTCATTTGGTTTTTTTTTTCCCCCTTTGTTGTATATTGAGTCTTCCTAAGCCATGAAATAACAAAGTCAAATTATTTTATTTTATTTTTGTCTTTTTGAGTTCTTATAATGATTTGCTAACATCTTAATCTATGTAAGCAAATTTTGGTAATCATATTCAAACAATCTCTGTGTGGGTACTAATAAATAAATAAATAAATAATTGTGGGTAATTCCAATCACAGTGGCTTAGCACCCGTAAAGCAGATCCTATTGAATAATCCAAATTTTTAATCGATGACATTGCAGTCAAGAAGATTAAAATTTGCAAAACTAAAAGGGTTGGATTGTGCATCACCCAAAGCATAAACAATAGCACTTGAGTCTTAATAAAAGTTTTGCAAAGCACATGCAATTATATATATATATATATAGAAGGACAAGGGGTGGTCAATTTTACATTATTAATCCATGCCAAAATGAAATTTTAAAAGTACCAAATTTGTGTTCTCCTTCTAGGAACCTCCAGGGCCCCCATATAGTACCAGATGCCCAAAGTGAGCCCCTTGGTATCCTTCATCTTTCACTTCATACAATTTTCTATTGCTTGTAAACACATATGTTTGAGGATTTATATCCCCTCCACTTGGACTCTTAAGTGCAATATTCCTGAAGTATGCATCATATCTGGTGTCCTCAATTAGAAAATGACCTCCCCCCATTGCAGGTTTCGGGGTGCCCGGTGGACTAAATACCTCTCCTCCCCATTCAGCATGTGAAGCTAAGTTTGCTAATCCGCCACCAAGTATTCTCTTTGGCCAAAATCCAAGATTTGTATTTGCAACTCCAAGCCACCAGTTTCCATTAGCTAGATCCTATATATTTTTACGTGGATATCAAAATTGAATAATTGAACAGAAGAACGCAAATTCTATTTCTTTACCACTAATTACTTAATTATGATTTTTATTTCATAATTATTGGTGTAATAATTATTTGACATGATGGTAGCATGACTTGGGAACTTGTTTCATAATTAAGGTTTTTCAAATTTTACCTGCAAGATGTAGATTTCCATCGCAACTGATGTCCCTCCACGTATAGAGACCTTTTCAATTACTTGACCAAGAGGTATTTCTGTGTCCACAATCACAAATCCAGGACAATTTGTATTGAAACAATGAGATTGACCTGCCTGTTTGGTAGACAAACATATACGAATATATTGTAAGAGCTACCAAGAAAATATAGTCAATCGAGTAATATGCAATAAAAAACAATGATACTTACATTCGTATATATGAATAGTCGAGGACGTGCGTCACCAAACAGAAATGGATCCACCTGAGACAAACCAAAAACATAATAAAAAAGCAATGATACTTACATTCGTATATATGAATAGTCGAGTACGTGCGTCACCAAATAGAGATGGATCCACCTGAGACAAACCAAAAACATAATAACAACAAATGATTTTGTCTATGTGAAGCTAGTTTTTACTTGTGAAAATTGTTTGTAAAGTAGGTAAGAAGTTAAATTTACAAGAAGCAAGAAGATCAACTTACCCTCCACCCAACTTGTAAGCTATCAGGCCCATTTTGAATCATCATTCGCCCTGCACTATATTGTTTACCCACGGCATCTGGTTGGTATACACTAAGCACTGCTGACGCTTCACTGTATTTGTTTGGACCATCTATTGTCTCAACTATGGCATACTGGGTAATAAAAGCCCAAAACATATGTGTTACTTTTATATTTTCCCTTACTGTGAGAATCTGAACATATCCATATTGTTGGGAGAAAACCAAAGGCCAATTCGAGATACCCGAATCTAGCACAAAATAGCAGAAGTAATTTTTCTCCCTCTTTGTGTGAATCTATCAGGAAACAATTTGAATAGAGCACAATATATATATATATATATATAATCTGAAAATAATAAATCTAAAAATCACACAACAAGTTAAGAGCAATTTGCCAATCAAGAGAAAAAAAAGGCAAAAGCAATTTTTCCGTGGAAAACCTTCCCACACTGAGAAGGAAAAAACCATGGAACCATAGTCCATCTTCCGTTTGGTTTAATTTTAGAATTATAATTTGAGTGTAGAGTTATGTTTTGAGTTTTGAGTTTTTGAATGATGATTTAAAAAGAGAAAATTTGTTTAGTTATGAGTTTTGAAAATAGTTTTGGGATGAGTTGTAATTTTGTTTTGTTTTTTTTTTTTTTTTTTTTATTGATGTAAAAAATGTGAGAGAATGTGAGAGGTGAGATGGTTTTTTGATTGATTGATGTAAAAAATGTGAGAGAATGTGAGAAGTGAGAGAGAAAAAGTGATTGATTAATAATAAAAGAAAAGAAAAGCGAGGAGTTTTGAAAGTAATTTTGAGTTGTATTTTAAAAATATATTTGGTTAACAAGTTGCATTTAAATCATGATTTATAAACAGAGTTGGGTTTTGAAACATAAACCAAAGACTATCATAATCTCTCCATGTGGGCTTGAGATTTACGTGGGTTTTAACAAATATTTGAGCCATCCTTCACATACGAGGGAAACTCAACCCAACAAACATATATACATATATATATATATACGCTCGTACTTTTTTTTGTTGGTTTTTTCCCCCTCTTTTCATTCAAAAAAGGCATCGTGCCCTAACTGTAAGATTTAATGTTTAGTGTTTTTGGTTGTGTAGATTCAAGCCATGTAAACAATCACATCTGCAAGTAAAATTATTATCAAAAGTTTGCCTAAAACTTTCAACAAGATGAGGCTAAACATATAGCTTCAAAAAATGAGGACTAGAATCAATTTATAGAATAAAAAAATGTGGTTAGAGTGTTTTATGTGTGTGTTCAGCTCATTCAAGAAGGTGATTCATAGAAACAAATAAAACCAAATATAGAAAACAAGCAATAGTGCAAAACTAATATTGTGAAGCTATATTATGAGTTTTGAAAATAGTTTTGGGATGATTTGTAATTTTGTTTTGTTTTTTGATTGATTGATGTAAAAAATGTGAGAGAATGTGAGAGGTGAGATGAGAGATGAGAGATGAGAGAGAAAAAGTGATTGATTAATTGATTGATTAATAATAAAAGAAAAGAAAAGCGAGGAGTTTTGAAAGTAATTTTGAGTTGTATTTTAAAAATATATTTGGTTAACAAGTTGAATTCAAATCATGATTTAAAAATAGAGTTGAGTTTTGAAAAGTAAACCAAACGCTACTATAATCTCTCCTTGTGCGCTTGAGACTTACGTGGGCTTTAACAAATATTTGGGCCATCCTTCACATACGAGGGAAACCCAACCCAACAAACATATATATACATATATATATATACACTCGTACTTTTTTTTTTGGTTGATTTTTTCCCCCTCTTTTCATTCAAAAAAGGCATTGTGCCCTAACTGTAAGATTTAATGTTTAGTGTTTTTGGTTGTGTAGATTCAAGCCTTGTAAACAATCAAACAATCACATCTGCAAGTAAAATTATTATCAAAAGTTTGCCTAAAACTTTCAACAAGATGAGGCTAAACATATAGCTTCAAAAAATGAGAACTAGAATCAATTTATAGGATCAAAAATGTGGTTAGAGTGTTTTATGTGTGTGTTCAGATCATTCAAGAAGGTGATTCATAGAAACAAATAAAACCAAATATAGAAAACAAGCAATAGTGCAAAACTAATATTGTGATGCTATATAATCTTGATTGACTAGGATAACTTACATCAGCACCGCCGGTGTCATCTGCAGGAGTCATTATTTTTGAAGCAAGTTTCTCTCTAATGAGATCTTCTTTAGTAGTTCTTCTAATTGGAACTGTTCCAACCGGGCAACCCCTACCCTTTAGTCCTATATGTAGAGGTTTGCTAACGTTTGAGGAAACTTGATCTCTTGATCTCTTAGGTAATGAAGTGGGCTTCATCTGCAATTCAACTCAATTCGAAAAAGGTGAAGGAGACTTGCACATAAATTGATCACATACTGGATTAGAAAAAACTCACAAGAGTTTGATTCTACGGTTGGGTATGTGCATGTCTTGTTTTCTATGAGCCTCATAGAGTTATTAGTGTTGGGTGCGTGTATCAAATTTTGTAAGATCCATATTGTATTTTGTGTTAGGTTGTTAAATCAAGAGTTCACTAGTAATTCAATGTGTAGGGTTTTATTAATTGTATGGAACTAACATTTCTATGGTTTGCCTATAAATATGAATCTTCTCTACACTCTCCTCTCTTTTATTGATGCTTGTCCCAAAATTATATTTTATCTATTGGATTTGATCAATACAATTATTCCCTTCGCCAATAAAAAGAAGTATTGTAGAGGTGTGAGATTGAGAGGGTTTGTAAAGATGTAGGGGATATGAAAAAATTCCGGGGTCAATGATAGTGAGTAAGTAAGCACGTGTAGCTTCTAGAATCAGTTAATCTTAAGTAGGGAAATGTGTAGAGTTTCAAGACTTCGGTATTGGTGTCAGATTTTAAAGGTTTTTGGTTTTATTGTTGTACACACTATGATTCATAGTATATTTCTCTTTTGTATGCAAATCTTTGTGATTTTTAATCTTTAATGTGTGCATATGGATGTGTTTCCATTCGAATTTAGGATGTGCAATAATCCCAGCACCTATTGTGCGAACTACAGTGTACTGTGATTTATTTTGTTCTTATAGAGTGTTGAATAAATAATTAAGTAGCCTTCAATTATGTGTTGCAGATAAGAGGATGTATGGAGACAAACCTGAAAATGAAAAGTATGGTTCTTCAGTAAAGGATGATCAAATGCAGGTTGCTTGTAGAAGTCCACACAATCATATATATCTCCATAATTATTCTGTAAATGTTACAATCTTTCTGTTAGTTGTTATATACAATTGTTCAATTCATGAAAGGTTGTTCACAATTTTGTGCAAAAATAATAATACCATATTCTGTATTCTCAAGTTCAGAACGTCAAATTAGATGGTTGTAATTCAAGACAGCCATGATATTAGGCCTAAGATGCCTATTAATCTTTGCCATTTGATTTTCATAGAAAATTTAACTGGACAATATTGGAATTGAATGTCCTCAAAACTAGTCCCAAGACATCCTAGGAAACCGGCTCAACTTAAATTTTTATTTATTATATTTGAGACAATAGTTTATTGATAGATACGTGTCAACAACTTTATGTTCCAATTTATCCTTTATATGGTGATTATTAAGTTCCATAAGAGGTAGATACAAAATAAGACACTAAGTATGTGATATGATTGATTATTGAGCTCTATAAGATGATAAGATACCAAATGAGAGATTAAGAAGGGTCTGCATTAGTAAAAACACCAAAATATTCTCCCATTATGGTCATTACATTACGTATGTATGTCTAGTGTGGTATGGGATATGATAAGATTTGACCAATTTCTCAATCCAGGAACATTTCAAACTGGGACACGATATGCAATTGATAATATCAACATCAATTATGGCAAGTCTATTAATCAAATATAATTTACTCCCTTGAAACAAACATAGCAAAATTGAACTAAGACTGTGTTTGGATGTTAGATTTATATATGAATTTGAAAAGAGAAATAGAAACATGAGTGAAAAATGAATCAAATATAATTATACTTTACCTAACTATTCCATTTCTCTATCTAAATTCATGATCCAAACGCAGTCTAAATGTTTCCAATAATATGTGAGAATAAATACTTGTATAGTCTTGACTGCCGGCTTGTTGAGATGCTTAAGTCGCTCCTCCAACTCCAAATCTTCTTCTTTAGTTAAACTCCTCCAGTCTCCTTCAATTCCATTGTGTCCCACAAGGTGAGAGCATACACAGAGAAATAATACAATAGCATGTACGTCCATGGGATGATCTGGAAAATAATAAAAAAGCATAGTCAGTGATCAAAAATCACAACAATCATGCTATAATTATTTAAGGCAATTAATGACATTACAATCGTAATACATCTATACACATAAGGTTCACATATTTTATTTTTGAACAAAATATATTAATAGTCCTTAAAGTATGTGTTTATTGTCATTTTGGTTCTTCAAGTTTTAATTTTGTCAATTTCATTATTGAAATTTCAATTTGAGTCAATTTGTTCCAATTCTAAGTGTACCTTCTAAATAGCTAACGGAATGGTAATAAAATACACACATGTTCTTTAAAGTATATGTTTCTTGTCACTCGTATCACTTTGATTCTTGAAGTTTTTAATTTTGTCAATTTGGTCATGAAACATTAATGAAGAAAATAAAACATAACCATACAATATTAAAGGACGAAATTGATAAAATTGATACTTGAGAGACCAATGACACAAAATAAACATTTTTAGGACCATAGTAAAATTTATAATTATTTTTTCTTAACAATTTAAACATCA